GCACTTTGAAGGGAGGTGCAAAAGGGCCAGCTGCCCTGGTACCAGCACTTTACAAAGACCTAGAGTGCCCAGCTACTGCCCACTACCATAGCAAGGGTAGAGCCCTGGATAGCAAAGGGTGGCTACAGAGGTTAGCCCCACCCTTCTGCCCAAGACTGCACTCCTTCCAGAGGCCTGGAGCCAGGCCCTCCAACCTTTTCAGGGGTCTAGCAATTCTGTTGGCTGCCCTGACTATCCAGAACAATATTTATATTCAAATTGATATGGTAAAAATAAGCAAGTCAGCAATTTTTCAGTAATAGTGTGCTGTGACACTTTTTTAGTTTTAGTCTTATTTTGTAAGCAAGTAGTTTTTAACATAGGGGTAAACAACACCTAAAAGGGGTACAGTAGGGCTAGAAAAGGTGAGAGCCACACCCTTCTGAAGAAAGAAAAAAAGAGGAAGAGGGAGACGTTTCTTTGCCGCAAACTTCTTGAAAGTTTGCAATGGCTAAATGTTTTAACATCAGCAAAGTGGCAGGCCGTAATAAAACAGCTTCATGCATGCCAAAGATACAAGAACAGAAACTGAAGAGGTCTATAGAGGTCTGACAGGCAGAAAGGATGTTATGCACAACAGAGTGTGACAGAATTGGATTCTGCTTGCCAGGAGCACACGCAAAATTATTACTTTCCAAATAGACTCTACCTGACCCAGACAGATGTAAGAAAGCCAAGATAACAAACGGGAATCGTGAAACCAAACCTCCTCCAAATTTCCTAAACAATTAGGGGGGTCACAGAACATCATACAGAAAGGAGAGTGGTTGGTTGCCAATAGGTATTGATATGAAATATGGAAAAAACAATGATATAAATAGATATATAAACAGTGAAAGTAGACAAATAGAAATGAGATGCTATAGGTGAAAATGGTTTAAAAATAATTGTTTCATATGACCTTAAAGTTCAATATCTGCTTAGTTGCATTACTGAATTTTAACAGTGTAAGTAGTACAAAAATGTCTAAGTATTTGTTAAGGAAGAAAATTAAAACATACTTTCC